CCAGGCCTTGCAGTCCCCTAACCCAAGGTTGGGGAACCTGTGGCCTCAAGGCTACCCGTGGCCCTTTAGATTCTCAAGTATAGCTCTTTGACTGAATCCAAACTTCACAGGACAAATCCCCTTATAAAAAGATTTGTTCTGTAAAACTTGGACTCACTCAAAAGGCTGAACCCAAGGACCTAGAAGGCCACAGGTTCCCCACCCCTGCCCTAATCAGCGATGCCATACATAATTTGATTTGGTACACTGGGATCTTCCCTATCTTCTTCTGTCAAGTAGAGATCAGTGAAGATACAAACAACATGGGTTTAATCTTATTCATCCATTTATAAACCAGGCACCAGTCTTTCCCATTGTTGGCATTTAATGGGTCATAATCAAGTTGTCTGGAATCCACAATGAAAACTTGAGTCCCTTCTTATGGAATTCTTTTTCAAATAACTGCTTTTATTTGAAAATTGGGGTGGCAAACTCTAGGGCTAGCCCTAGGCATAATTATGAAATAAGCAAAGTTTTTTTTTATAAGATCATAGATTTAGAATTGAAGTGACCTGTCAATGTGGGTGGGAGGGTGGATGAAGTATTAGTTATCAACTCCAAGTATTTTATTTTACAGATCAAGAAGATGAGGCACAGAGATAAGTGATCTGACCAAAGTCACACAGTAATAAATGGAATCTGGAGTCTTTTGATTCTAAATCTACCATTTTTATTTCTCCCTCCATCCCTTTCATCATCCTTTGCCTTTGGCAGCACCCTGCCCTTTTTCTTAGGATCCCAGTGCCTTCATATTAGCTCTTAGCTGCTTAGGGTCACAAACTGTGGTATTATTGAGTCCTGCCTCCCACAAGATGTCAGATCCATATTTTTCTCTCTGCCCCATCTTGTTTCTCATTCTACAATGACTGCTCTTACTAGTTGTCATATTGGCAAAGCTGACAAACTTGTTCATTACCTAAGGTTTAAGTAATGGAGATGGCTTCATGTGTTGCCCCAGCAAGGATATCTATACTTTAATGTATGAACATTCCTTAATTACTCAAATGAATGAATGTTTAGGAGTAGAACTGTAATTCTCAGAGATAAGCAGGTGGGAGAGAAAAACTTGAGGGAGGTGAACACTTTCTGGATCTCCTCAAATCACACTATTAAGAAAACTGCCTCTTCTGCCTATGTGTGAGAGTAAATGAGGCCAAGGTTCCTCCTCTCTCCAAAAAAACAAGGTGAATGTTTCTTGAGGTAAAGGCAACAAAGGCTCCAATAGAGAAGCTTTGGACAAAGTGATTCACATAGAATTTTGGGTTTTTGAAGGAAAATTTTTGATAAAAGAAATCAATCCAGATTGGAATTTAGTTATGTAAACATAGCTTCCTGAATGATGTTATTGTTTCCCTACATTGAGTCTTAATACTTAAAAAAAAATCTACAGAGACAGCATGAAAGTCGGAGGGGGGGAATATGACTGCCTAGAATAATCCTGAACAGAAATGACCCTCCTCTTTGATCGAAGAAGCTCACAATCAGGTCAGGATATTGAAGGACAGATGGGTTAATGAGACCTGGCAAAGATTAGAGAATAAACCATTGACAGAAGCAGAACTTAGATTACTGGTCCCTGGCCTCCTCTTTTATTTCTTCATAAAACTGAATCTTTCCAGTGGTATTCAACATTGATGCCAGACAACATGATCTGGCTTCCCAATTTTTACCTACTGTTACTCATCAACTCCCTTGCAGAGTCATGAATAGGAATGGAAATAGTTTGGGGCTATTCACCAGAAAACTGCTTCATAGACTTATAAAGCATTAGAGTTGGAAGTTACCTGAGAGGTCATCTAGCTAAACTCCTTCAAGATGCCCTGAGAAAACCAAGACTTAGAGAAGTATCTAACAAAGGTCACACAGTGGTATTTAGTGGTAAATCCAAGACTAGAACTCAGTGTTCTGATTCCTATCTATATACTTTGCATTATACCATAGTACCCTCCCTGGACACCTCTTATTCCCCAGGCTGATGTTAGAAAAGATCATATTGTTAGAATACTGACATCAGAGGATAATATCTTAGGGTCATAGATCTAGAGCTGAAGGAACTTCATAAGTCCATCTAGTCTAATTCATTTTGCAAATGAAGAAACTGAGGCCCAAGGAGGTTGAGTAACTTACCCAAGATCACACTCTAAGTAAAGGTTAGAAGGAGTCCATATTGCAAATTAATCATTCAATCAACCAACATTTTTTTTAAGTATTTACTATATTTGGTACACTATTCTTGGCATAACAAAACAAACAGTAAAATACAAAACCATCTCTAATGGAGCTCACGGTTTAGTTGTGGAGATAATAATACCAAGCAATAAATGGAAGGCTTTTAGTGAGGGTAAAAACAATAAATACTGTAGGAGTTCAGAGGTGGGAGAGAACTGTTGCTATCAGATGTTGCTATCAGGAAAGACTTCTCAGTGGATCTATTGAACTAGGCACTGAAGGACAGGCAGAATTGATTAAATCTATTTCCATTTGGTGGCCCCGAAAAGATAATGCTATTTTTGCCAAGATCCTCCTGTTGTCTAACTTCCTGCACAGGTTTAGCCTAAGCATTGGAAGACTATGGCTTAGGACTGAAAAATTACATACACTCACTTCCCCCATAGTGAAATAGTGATCTCTCTAATTATGGCAGGCCTGCATTTCATCAGCCAAAGGCAAGTTCCCATAAGTGCGACGCACCTTGTTAGATGGCTTCTGTTTTCTGCTAATTACCCTACGAAATCAAGCACAGATTGTGACACAATTAGATTCTGCCTTTTACATTATTTCCTTAAAACATTCTTGACGAGAGGAAATCTCTAATTGAGGAATCTAATTTTTCTTCTCTCTTTGTAGTTGAAGAGACCCCTTAGCACCCGATTTTCTGCTTTGGAAATTGTCATTTCTATTGCAAACCTTAGAGAATTCAATTTAAAAAAAATATGAGCAGAAATAGGATATTAATAATACTAGGGTGAGAAGAACCCCATAAAACTGGTTAAAAAAACCCTCTAGAATGTATTTTTTTTTAAAGTTCAGGTTTCACATTTCAAAGTTTTATCAAACATTTTCCACCCATAATTTAAACCATTGTTTTCCAAGGGAAATTTAATAAGAACTGCCATGTGTTTCTGCTTAATTTTGGAAGGCTACGCTATGCAGTAAAGATTCTCATTTGAAAATAATTCCTGTCCTTATTCTGGAACTGCCAGGGAAATAAAATAAAAAAAAGCCTGTTATAGCTTTCGAGTTTATGTTTTGCCCAAAGCCAAGCAGAGCTGCAAGATCAAAAGTTTGGAGTTCAGTTCCAAAATGAGAACCCCCTTTCTTGGACAAGTTGGGCAGTAGAGGGTTTGGATCCTCTGACTGCCTGCTCCAGGTTTGCTGGTAATTGGCTCAAATGCGGGGCTAGCCTCATCCACCATCCCTGGTTGTGAGGCAGACCCCCATGAGTCCCTAGGCCTGGGAAGCAGATTCCGTGGAGATGGAGCAAGCATGATATTTTTAGAGCACATGTGCAGTAGGGGCCCCCCATGCATGTCTTGGTTTACATCTGGCCCCTCAGAGTAAGGGTGGGAGAGGAACACAGCACTTATGCTTGTTTTCTGCTGGGCTCATCTTTAGCCAGGACTATTTGTCAACGTGACATATTCATCCACTAATGTTTAAGGATGGGCAAACTGGGTCATGTTTTCTGTTCCCTAACAATCTTTCTTTCTCACTTTTTAAAATCCACATAGGAGTTTAATTCGGTTTGGCTGCCCCCAAGCCCTTCCACCCTTGGCATTGATTTTTAATACTATGAGCTTCCCATAGACTGTGATTTCCCTATAAATCCTCTGGATGCCAATTTTAAACAGAAGTAGTATGTTAGAATGCCCCAGGAACCCCTCTTCTTAGCTCCTCTTCTCCATCCATTTAAGGTGCTGCAGGTTGTCATGAATGAACCAAACTAGGGCCCAATGGCCCCTCCCAAAGTCAGGAATGATGGATGTCAAGTGGGTGCTTGACTTGGCCCCAAAGTCTCCCCCTTTACTAAATGGCTGCCTCCCTACTTTTCCTCTACCTCAAGTGAACAGGCCAGCACATCTATCACTACCCTCTCCCCACCTAGGAGATGACCCAAGATTTTGGGAGGCATAAAAATGACAGGCCAGCTCAAGACTTTCCTAATTAGATGAGATCTGTTGGCATTCTGTGAATGGCAAATGGTGCTGGGTTCCTTCTTTGACATGCCACTAGTGCTTTTGAGACTTCCTGTTTGCTAATGCTCCCTTGGCAGAAGTTCAAAGCCAAGAGCAGAAAGGCAGCTGTCTATTTTCAATCCCAGTGAGCTCCTCAGCACTTCTCAATTTCACATGGACTGTTTTTGTACAGAACCTTGGTTTTATAATGGTTCTCCTAACTTTGCAGTCCTCAATACACACTCTTGTGCAATCGATAATGGGAAAAACAGGTGAACTGCTAAGTTTCACGCAAGCTGTCCACTTAGCTATTTTTACCCTCTGTAAGTTGAATCAGCTCTCTCTATCTTCTTTTCCTGTAACAGAAGGAGATCAACTGCCTCTGAACAACAGGGAACAGAGAAGCCTGCTCTTTCCTCTGTAAGCAGTTTGCCTAATTCCTGTAAAGTTATTTTATGTCATATGATCTCAGTGAGAATAAGACTCTTTCCCTCAGACCAAACTTGAGAGGGAGATCTTGGGAGTTTTAGGAGCCACACCCAGCCTGATAAAAGCAATCTAATCATTCATTTTGATTAAATTCAGTAAGTAGTTATTGAGAGGTAATCTCACTAGAAGATAGAAGCTTGCCTAAGGGACAAGAACACCAGGGTTCAAGTCCCATCTTGGACACATTCTGGCTTTGTGACTCTGGGAAAGTTGTCTAACCTCTAAGGATGCTACTCACACCCTTCAAGGTTGGAAGTGGCAGGGCAGGTGCTGATCTACTTTGGGAGAAACAATTTCCTTACTGGGAATTCCTTGAAGCAATCAATGAAAATCACAGGTCTGGTTAAAAAAAAATGTATTAAGTGCCTAGTATGTGCCAGGCATGATGCTGGAAGTACAAAGACAAAAATAAAATAGTATGTGCTCCTAAGGAGCTTGCAGGGGAAACATTTTGTTTAACAACATATGCAGGCAAGCAAATCCAAGATATACCCAAAGTAATAGTGGGAGGAAGATGCTAGCAAACAGAGAATGGAAAAGAAGGTGTTGCTTGAGAAGAGCCTACAGAAGATTCCAGGGATTCAAAACTTCTTTGAAGATCGCTTCAGGCTAGTCCTAAATGATAGCTGTGGATGATGAGGAATTTCTTTCAAACGTGCTCTGACTCTTGAATTTCCAGTGATAGAAGCAGCTTCAGGCCCTGAAAGGAGGACAAATTCACGAGGGAAAAGATCACTAGAGTTTAATATCCTTTGTGGAATGAATATCCCCAGAGAGCCTGCCCCAGTGTGAATGGCTGCTAAGTACTCCCAGCACCAAATAGAAACCCTCCTAAATGCTGGATATTTTCAGAAACTCCAGTGTCCAGGGTCTTGCCTGGAGGGCTTAAATTGGGAGGATGGAAGGTGACTGGCTAATCTGTAGAAGATGACTTTGTGTAGTTTTCATTGTGACAAAGTGGTACTATGGAACTGATGATTTCTCACAATACCAGGTGCATTACAGATTGGTGTGTGGGTTTTTGTGAATTGGCTGCATATAAATGAGTAACATTTAAATAAAAAGGGAATCTAGAAACTTTCAGGAGTTTTTGGCTCTTATTTATAGCTACACAAATAAAATGCTTATTTCCCTTACCTTATGAATTAACATCACAGCATTCTTTTGGAAATACTTAAACCAGATTTACGTGCATTGATATATTAGAATGGAATATACTGCCTGGATAGAGAAACAGACTTTTTTTTTTTTAAATTTGAGGCCCTGTAAGCATGGGGACAAAGAAGGAAGGAAGTTGGAAAGATTGAGAGACCAGATTTGGCAGACAGAATTGAGGAGGACACGCCAGGTAAAGGAGAATGAGTGGGAGAGGTGGCTTGTCCTAAATGAGTGAGCACTCCTCAGGTCTACCATGTGTACAGTCACACATGGCACAATCACACCCAGTCTGGCCTGGGATGTCTTTCCCTCTCCACTTTGCCCAAACTCATCCCTTCTTTCCTCCAGCTCACTCAAGACTTACCTCATTCAAGATTTTTTGAATTATTCCATCCGCCTCCAGTCATTCTAAGCATGGTATCTGTAGCTGCATTGGGAGACACAGCTCAGGGTTATACATCAACTCTTTCCTCTCCCACCTCTCCATTCCTGATGCTTCCTACATCTTAGATGACTTAGCACTTCTTGGGATTGCTGTGAGGAAACTGTAAAGTGTAAATCCTCTAAATATTGGTCACTGTTATTATAATGGAAAACATGCTAGTTTCCATTTCTATATAAATCTTCTTGTTTGTTCTATTTCAATCAACCACTCAAACAGTCAAAAAGCATTTATTAAGCACTTATTGTGTGCCAAGATCCATGTTAAGCTTTGGGGATGGAAATAAAATGCTAAAAACATTCTCAGCCCTCAGGGAGCTTAATTTCTCATGAGGGAAGCAACATGTACACGAGCAGTTATTAACAAGATACATACAGAGTAGATATAAGATGACTTCACAGGGAAAGGCAGCTAACTCAGAGGACTGGGAAAGATCTCCTACAGAAGGTAAGATTTGAGCCGAGCCTTAAAAGAAGCCAAGAGGGGCAGCTAGGTGATGCAGTGGATAGAGCACTGGCCTTGGAGTCGGAAGGACCTGAGTTCAAATTCAGCCTCAGACATATAACACTTAACTGTGTGACCTTGGGCAAGTCACTTAACCCCACTGCCTAGCCAAAAAAAAAAAAGCCAAGAGGTCAAGATAAGCAGGGAGCACTGGATGCTTCTATCTCCCCCATTTTATAGGATTACACAGAAAGAATGTACTCTTATCTAGTCTTTCTTTTGTATAGCATCTATCCCTGGTAACCTGGCAGAGTGCATGGGGAGCAGGCCTCAGAGTCAGAGATTCTAGGTTCAGCTCTTGTCTTTTATCATATTGACTGTGTGACCCTGCAGCAAATCATTTACCCTCTCACTCCCAGCTAAGTCTCCAAGACTTTCCATTGCCTAATAATTGCCCATCTATGTTGGTAGAAGGAGTTTCCTCACCAGATACTCCCTAAATCATTGGAATTATGGATCTGGACAAAAGATCCCTTCCTTTCCATATATCTTAAGCATAGGAGTTGTCAGGATCACTCATTAGTGATATACTTAGTATACACTGCCTTGTATTGCTAGCTATCTTTTTATGTCCACTGAGTTCCTCAATTACACTCTTATTTCCTCTGGGGAAGGGACCAAGGTACTGTTCTTCAAGTCCCTCACAGAGTTTAGCACAATCCCTTGTACCGAGGATCATAGATTTTGTTCTAGCAGGGACCTTAAGGTCATGAAGACCAATTTCTCATTGAACAGATAAGGGAAGGGAGGCTCAAAGATCACACAGGGAGTGAATTGCAGTCAGGATTTAGGCACAGGTCTCCATCCAGCATTTTATCCTCTGCACTACGGCTGCTCTTCTAATAAATATTATAGAAATATTTGATTGATACCCAAGAGCTCACTGGACCACTAGGCACAGTCAGTAACTGTCTTTGTTTTCTGGGAGCAAGCTTTGTCTGGAATGGAGGCTTGATTGTAAGGTGTTATGCACATTAACAGATTATCAATTTTTTTAATAGATGTGGCTACGTTTAGCAGCATCTAAAATCAGAGGCTGGGTGTCAATTGTGACAGAAATTGCCCCATATCAAAACAGGTCCAATGTTAATTAAGTCAGAATGAAAATAGGGCTATTTGATATGGCAAAGTGACTGCAAGTCGGATTGTACATGCGTGTGCATGTGTTTGTGTGTGTGGTAGGGAGAGGGTAGAGGTGGGGGGCAAGTATTTGAATTCAAAGGGACAAAAGTGTAACAAACTGAGTCCTAGGACCAGGATTGTGATCTAATGGGCATCTATCTTCTAAACCATCTCCAAGGGGAATGAATCTGTGTGACCCTAGAAGGTTTTCAGGTACTAATGGAAAGGGCCCTACCCTATTTACTTACTTGTTCTTTTATTCCTTTGGATCTGGGGTTTATAAAGAATAGACTTAATTTTCATTAGACAAAATCATCTTTTTGAGATTATCCAAATACAATAAAACACAATTGTGCTTTTCAAAGTCAGCTTTAGTGAGTAGGGACCATTATTATTATTGTTCTTTTCTTTATTGCTTTCTGGTCCTGAAAATGAATTAAAATCAATTGTAACCCCAAAAGGAAGGTCTGTGTCATTATCTCTAATTTCCTAGTGGGAAACCAGAAGTGGAGAACAGTTCCAGTGACTCACCCAAACTCACACACTCTGGTTGGGTCTCTATAGCCAAAGCTAATGGGATTAGAGGGAAGCAATCATCTTGAGAAATCAAGTTATAAAAAAAAAACAGCTTTGGATTGAATTATCTTATAATTGTCTCCATTCTCCCCCTGATGAAGGCTACAAAGATCTGGATCTCGTGGAATCTGGGGCAAGTTACTTTAGTTTCTACCTCTTTTGTTTCATCTGTGAAATGGGGATGGATATGATGGTTTTTCTCTTTTCCATAAATTTTTTCTTTTTTAAAAAAGTTCTTTTAAATTAATAAACATTTTTTTCTCCTTTCTCCCTCATTTTCCCCCACCTCTTCCCCATGGGGGAAAAAAAAAAGACAAGCAAAATCCCTGTAACAATTATGCCTAGTCAAACTAAACACATTTCTGTGTTAACCTAGTAATGCTTTTCCCACACTTATCAGGCAAATGTAGTTAGGCCTAAGAGCATGTGAGCTATGAAGAGACTTGTGTCCCTAGCTTGTAAGCAGCTATCTGAGCTGTTTAGGTGGCAAAGTGGATTGAGTGCTGGCCTTGGAGTCAGGAGGATCTGAATTCAAATCCGGCCTCAGACAATTACTAGCTATGTGACCCTGGGCAAATCACTTAATCCTGCTTGCCTCAGTTTCCTCATTTGTAAAGTGAGCTGGAGAAGAATGGCAAAGCACTCTAGTGACTTTGCCAAGATAAACTCCAAATGGGGTCACAAAGAGTCAGATACAACTGATTGACAAAAACAACAGCAAAATTCCTATGGATGATGAACAGTGTCAAGAAAGAAAAGAGGAAAATCCTGGGAATTGTTTAGTATTTGGTCAGGCAGTGGCCAGTAAAATTGTTCTGTTTGCTCTAGTAATGGAAACAGTGACATGGCACTTCGGCAGGGATGAATTTCTTTCTATTTGCTCACAAAGAGCTGATATTTTTCTAAGATCCTTTTCTTGGGAGAATATCAGCAATCTGGTCCCTTGTATAACCAACCAAGGTCGACATTCATTTGTCAAAGAGAAGGCTCCTCCATGCAAAGCATCAACCTAGAATGATTTCCCGTGGCTGTTGGGCCCCTTTCCTTTGTTTCTTTAAAAAACACATTCTCTCAAAGTGATGGAGGAGTGTTTGGGGGAGGGGGACTGGAAACCTTCACTGCCCTTTTCCTTTGACTGCTATGTCATCTTCATCCCAGATCTGCCATCTGATCTGGGTGAACTTGGCAAAGTCACTTAAACTCTTGGGACCTCATTTTTCTAGCACTACCTACTTCACAGGGACATTCAGATGAACAGATTCACAGATTGTAAGGGATAGAGAGAAACTTGGCAAGGGCTAGCTTCTTTTTCCAGATCTAGAAAGCCAGGGAGGTTAAAGCAACTTGTTCATACAGTGAATTAGTGGCAGAGCCAAGATGAAAACCTGCTCTCCTCACTTCCATTCCATTGCTCTTTTCACTATGGTGGAGGTGCTTTGAGCACTTAAAACTCCCAGACAAGCATAAGGGAAGAAGTCCTAGCAGACATTCTTTTTGGGTGGTTGAATAGTTCTATAAAGCACCTAGGATCCAATTTGGTTGACTATCTCTTTCACATCCCAAGCTATGCTGGGAAAACAAACTAAACCTTTTCCCAACCTTGTTCCTTGGTAATAACATCTAACATCTGTATTGTGCTTTCAGGTTTGCAAAGTGCTTTACATCTCTTATCTCATTTGAGCCTCACAACAACTCTGTGAAAAAATAAATTCCAAGGTATTTACTCATTTTATGGCAGAGGAAACTGAGGTTCAGAGGCTCACACAAGCTATGAAGTCTCAGAAACAAGTTTTAAATGTACATTCTTCTTCAGGTCCTGCAGCCTATTTCCTGTGCCAGGCTGAGGATATGGGAAGTTGACTCTCTTTGGGACTGTGAAGTTTGTGGACGCTAAATTTCTGAAGAGTCCAGGGCTAGAAGAAAACTTATCTAAGGCCCTGTTTTATACTTCAATGTTTTGTCTTTTAGATGTGTCTGTTCACAGTTCTCAGGGCACCTGTTGGGGTTTGGGCTTAGTATTTACCCAGAGACAAGGTTAATTTTGTTCACTTAAGCAGAATGCATATTAGGGTGTTGTGCGATTGATGTGAATAAAGGCACAATACCAGGTTTCCTTTTACATCCTCTCCACACACTTCTCTGAGGGATGCTCCTGAGTCTGAAAAACTGTGCGTGATCCAAGCTCTTAATCACTTGAAGGTTCCCCATACCAGGGTAGTCAAATAACCAAGAACAGAAAAAAAATACAATCACTGAGGCAACAGTGCAGATTTGTTCATTAGACTTCTATGTATTTCATAATGATGATGATTGCTAGACTTTATATGGCGCTTTAATGTTTACAAAACACTTTTAATATTTGATCTCATTTGATCTTCGTAACAACCCTCTGAGGTAGGTGTTTTTGTGATACCTATTTTACATATAAGAAAAATCGGGTTGAGAATAGTTAAGTAACTTGCCCAGCTGGTGCCTCTCAGAGGCAGGTTTTGAATTCACATCTTCTTGATTCCAAGTCCACTCTATCCACTTCACTTTTAGAAATATTTCCATTTGCCATATTTCATCGTAATGTAATGGAGATGTAATGCTTTTTTTAAAAAAAGGAATCTCTGAATTGCATAGATGACAGTAAATTCTCAACAGATAATTAGAAATAAAATATCACTTCTGCATAGGGGTATGAAAGAACTTTGAACACCTATATATCATGGTAGGCAGCTAGGTAGCACAGTAGATAGAACACCAGGCCTGGAGTCAGGAAGACTCATCTTTCTGAGTTC